TTCGTATCGTTTCTTTTAATGCATGTCCTTGTAAAACTGGCGCAACATGAGCGCGGATCCACGCGGTGCGTTCTTTTGATCGCACGGGATCGAGAAATAACACGAGAGTCGCAGGTGATACCCACGCGGCGCGTTCTTCGGTCGGCTGTCGGCGGGAAATCAACCCGTTCTACAGCAGTTTAGTCCCCTATTCTCATGCACGACCTCATGATAATAGCACGAACACCATTCATTCCCCGCGGAGCGCCTGGATCGCCCGCGAGCGAGAATAACAAGAGAGTAGCATACAATGGCCTATGCCTTACGAGGGCATTGGCTGATATTCCTGACGCAGTTTAACCCTCCATCCTGGTAGACCGTGTATCACATTAGGGAGAAGAAATGTCCGTGTATCACTGCAAAATAATCAGCCCGGAGTGTCGTTGTGTCTGCTCTCCTTGCGTCCGCCACGCATCTCGGTGGGTCCGTCTGGTCACAGTACATCGTAGCTACGTTTGCTTTTCCTACTACGACCCCTAGCTAACCCCTGTCAACGAATCTCTATCTTCCCGCCACGCGGTATCATTATCATAGAGTGAAAATACAGCCGTATACCGGCGCACCCCGTTCAACGCCTCACTACGTAGGTATTTGCTGACGATTGGCTGAAGCATCTCGCGAGACGACATGAGCAAGTAAGAGTTACGTTCCCCGACGTCCCCGACCTGTCCGACGAACAACGCGAATGGGCGGGGCCACGTTTAGTGCCGAGCGTAGCCCGCGTGCCTACGATGGCAGAAGTAAAGCGACCACCGCACGGGGACGGACACACCCGTCTGCCGTGGGACGCCCCGGTGAGAGACGCCGGCGCGAACGGGGAACATTTCGTACCGGGTGGGCTTAGTCACAACCGCGAATTTTGGGACAACGTCATCCTACGAGACCATCCCCAGCGCGATCAACTCATGTCATATATTCGGGATGGTGTCAGCGTCTTCGAATTCCTCCACGATGAGTATCGAGGGAAGTCGCGTAAGGAACCATATCGCCCAGCAGCGTTTCCGGGGGCCGTATTCCCCAACCACATTCCCGACGAACATGCCGAATTTGTGCGGCGGGAGGTGGAAGCGCTGGACAAGCGGGGATATTTAGTTCGGTGGGAGGACGTCCGAGGACCGGAGGGCCCGGATAGACCGCGGTTGGTCCTGTCCATCTCGGTGGAGCCAACCAAACCCCGTATGATTATAAACGGTATCCCCCTGAACACCTGCTGCAAACACGTACCGTTTACGATGGACACGGTCTCACGGGTGGCACACGTAGCAGAAGAAGGGGTGTTCATGGGGAGCCTAGACGACCGCGCGGGTTTCCATAATCTTCGCCTGCAGCCCGAGAGCTGGCCGCTATTCGGCGTCCACTACGATGGGGTGGATTACGTCTGTACCACCCTTCCATTTGGGTGGAACGAGAGTCCGTTTTGTTACCATTCTTTGAGCGACGCCAAAGCCGCGTACCTGCGGTCCAAGGGCATCCCCGTCCTGGCGTATATCGATGACGCCTGGTACGCGAACTTTGTCGATACCTTCGGGAAGTCGGATCGAGTACAGTGGCTGTCGGCGGCGGAAGCTCTACACACCGGCATCCTGGTATCGTACCGATGCGGGTATTTCCTGTCCATCAATAAATGCGACCTCAACCCCTCTCGACAACAGCGGTACCTCGGAATTATCTGCGATTCCTACACCGCATCGTTCCGCATCCCGGAGGATAAGTTGCTCAAACTCCATCAGCTCATCGACCAAGCGCTTGCGAACGACTCCGTGCCCGTGCGCATGCTCGAGAAGATAGCCGGCAAGTGCGTCAGCATGTCTGTCGCGATTCGACCGGCCACCCTTTGGACTCATTACATGTTCGCGGCGATCAGGAAGGCTAAGGGTCGAGTCATTCAGTTGAGGGACAAACACGACCTCCGCGCAGAGCTACGCATTTGGCTCAACCTGTCATCGACCGCTCAGGAGGGACCGTGGTACAAAGCGAGACACTACGACGTTTCTCTCACCACCGCTTCGTCAGACGCATCATCCAACCAATACGGTGGAGTAGTGTCGCTGCCGAGTGGCGCATTCTCCGCAGGCGGCGATTTTCCCCACGAATGGCTGTCGCGTTCCATTAATGGCAAGGAGATGTTCGCGTTGCTCGAGGTACTGAAGGAGTGTTGTAGCGCTCGCCCGGGCGAACTTAAGCGAGCACAAGTTCTGATGGATGTCGACAATAGAGCAGTTGTCGACGCGTTTAGGAAGGGCAGATCGAGAAACCCCATCACACACTCGATGCTGGTTAGCCTTTACGAGCTGCAAATCGCACACGGATTTTGGCTCACATTGAGGTGGGTACCGTCAGCGGCGAATAGTGTCGCCGACGACATCACAAGACCGGCCCGGCACGAAATTATCCGCCTTCGATCACGCGTGTTTAGGCAGCTGCGAGAGTTTTTCGGAGAATTTACGGTCGATCTTATGGCGTCTTCCGAGAATGCTCAGCGTACCGATGCGGGGGGAGCCGGGGGACCGTCCCGCCTGCCGTTTTTCTCACGGTATCACTGCGCAGGCACGGCCGGAATAGACGTCTTCAGCCAGGATGTAGCGGTTACACCAGGGCTGGGCACGCCGGCCTTTGGGTATTGTTTCCCGCCGCCGGTCATGGCGGGGCACATTATTCAACATCTGTCCGAGTGTCGGGCTCACGCAGTAGTACTAGTGCCAGATGTACGAGAGTTTTGGTGGCCGCGGGCCGCAAGGGCCGCCGTCAAATCGTTAGCGATACCGCGGACGGGGAGGTTTGCATACCCCCACCATCAGGACGGCGTTCGCGATTACATTTACGTGCGACACGGAATGCGTGCGATGGAATTGGATTTTCGAGATACATGATACGGTGTTTATAGTCGCCCCTCTCCTGGTTCGCGTTCGTTTCGCTGTGTCTGTCCTATCATCAGCATTATGCGGCGGGGACCCTCGAGCGGGTCCCCTCCGGATCTACGCGAGTACAGGACCGGATACCGCAAGTCTTGTGTAGTACGTGTGGGGCCCAGAACGATGCCACATTCAACTTCTGCCAACATTGTGGTACTCCACCGTTTCGGGGGCTTTTAGAGCCTCGGGCGCCCGACGCGACCGTAGTTATCGATAAAACCCCGTTGGCAGCGCGGAAAGAGACCGTCTTAGCCTCGTTGAGTAGTAAGGCCAGTCAGCAACGCAAATGCGCGGTGGCAGACAAGTTTGACGCATTTCTCCGAGCGCACACGGACGGGATGAGGGGATGGGAAAACGTTACCGATGTCGACGTGCAGGATTGGCTCTGCTGGCTAGATTCTCACGGTAACGGTACGAAGGTGGTTCATGCGGTAGACTGCCCCGACATCGGGTCCAATTCACTGGCAGCGTGCAGGAAGGAGAGTGCCTGCGCTAAACGGTACGCTGCTCAAACACTAGACAAAGGGTTTGTGTCGAAACTCAAGTGCGCGATGTCTGAGATTCTGGGGAAGTCGGACCCATGGGATGAGCGTGAGAAGAGAGGTAACGCAGCCGACAGCACGGCGGTTCGGAAATACCTGTCGTGGGTTCAAGTAGAACAGCGCAGGGTGGGAGTTACCGTCAAGCAAGCCCGACCGATGCTAGCCCCGCTACTTCTACGTCTGGTGCGATACATGCGCAACACCGCGAGTCACTTGCATACTGTGGGCGCGCGGGTAGCCCGTAGCCGAGACATTGCGCTGTTTGTCACCGCCTTCCACTCGATTCAACGAGGATTCGATTTGGCGTGCGCGTTGGCGGCACAAGTCTTGCACCTTCCTGACGGAACGGGGATGATTTTCAATTTTCATTTCGGCAAGACCCTCCGAAGCTCGTCGCACGCGGTAGTAGTTCGACGAGATCGTCGATGTACCGAGCTATGCCCGTTGCGGACGATACAAGAGTTTGGCATAGCAGCTAAGTCAGCAGGATGGAACATGCGGGAGGGGTACCTATTTCCCGAGGTCAACGCCGACGGTTCGCGGGGGTCGTCACAGTGGTCGGCGGCGCGTATGACCGCCTCGTTACAAGCCCATATTCGGAACGGTCGCCTGGGCGATGCAGGCGGCCAGTATACCATGCACTCGTTCCGGGTAGGAGGAGCGGTAAGCCAAACGCTAGCGGGGACGGCGGTAGAAGTCCTCATGGATTTTGTCGGATGGAAGACGCGGGGGGTGGCACAGCGATATGTAGGGCCCACGATCCAAGGGGGAGAAGTCGCAGCTAAGCGAAGGCGAACCCAGAGCCAACAGGAGCAGGAACGGTTGTACATGAAGACCGTCGATCTCCCGTTGCAAGAAGGCTTTACTGAACGTTTTTCGGCTTTCGGATAATGAAGAGCAATGACTTACGGTAGCGGGGTCGTCGATGGAGAAGTGTGGGGGATCAATTCAGGCAACGACAGGGAATGATAACACAGGTCAAAACATGAAGTATGGGTGGGTCCCATGCCGTGGCAGGAGGCCTCATTTCATCCCAAACTCTACATCGTCGACAACTATTCCGCAGTAAAATAATGTCGAAATCATGGAACCACGAAGGGGTTCCGTGGATGAGAACAGATGATCTGCTACTGCGACAAAGGCTTGAAGAGAGCGCCCACTCGTGACAAGCCTTCCCAACCCTAACGGAGGGAAAAGTACGGTAAGAATAACAGCCGTCCCACCCGCCCAACTACGCTGTATTTGATTTTATTTACTGGGGTAATTACTCCCTGCGCGACTGCCGCGTTGACGACACGAGGGACGTCAACGCGGGGGTAGTAACCCTGGGTGGAGTCTCCAGGCTTTTCGTAGCAGGAGGCCTCATTTCATCCCAAACTCTACATCGTCGACAACTATTCCGCAGTGCTTTTACACCGCTTCTTATGGCAGCACAATGTTGCAAGAAAAGCTGCATACTTTTCCTGCAGCTTTGTTCCAAACTTTGTCCATGGAGCTTTTGATGCGCGCTCTTTATGGGACGAAGTAACTTTTGTGCACGGGACTGGTGGAATGCGGAGGCGTGATCTTTTTTTATTTTCACAACGGTTGACAACGGCGAGAGAAGAAGGCACGCGCCTGTCATAACGCACCGCGAAATAACCGGTCAGGGCGTGTGGGAGGGTAGTTGCAACCTGTTTTCTCCACACTCACCATACCCCAAGGCATCAAACCTGGTGTAGCAGAAAGATGCTGGGTAGAGCTAGCTCCCTCGGGGTGGAATCGCTGTTGCTGTTGCCTTCTCCGTCGGACAGTTATCGCTGGAGAACCAAACCATGCGTACACAATCCCTGCGAACTTGAACCAACCGCTCTCTGACGTGGGTACTTTAGGGTCGATCAAACTTGTTTCCCGATGCGCGTGATACCCCACGGCACCAAACCTTGGGCATGAAAGATGGAGCAAAGAGCTATCTCCCATCGAGCGCCCTTGCTATTGCTGTTGCTTCGGAAAGTTATCGGTGGATAACGGAACCCGTGGCGGTCAAAAACATCGAACTTGAACTAACCGCTAGCGGCCGTTGACGGTTGTACACAGCACAAACTTTTTTCCCGGCGCATTCAGCACCTCACGCCCCCAAACCTTGGCATTTCCCATCGGCCCATGGCATCACCTCCTTCCAGATACCATTCATGAGGCAACTCGTTAAGAATTCGTCGAGATATCGGTGATCATAGCCATCCCACAATCGATGCTGGAGAGGGTCTACGTGTGTGTGCGGGAAAGGGGTAAGCAGCTTGACGTGAACCGGGATAATTTCCGCCGTGCAGCTTTTCTGGCTCCTTCCCCCCTTCCCGACTCGAGAAAAGCAAAAACAAATTTGGCCAGATTGCAGCTATTCGCCCCGGAAAAAAAGTTGCAGAACTTTTCGTGCAACTTTTAGCTCCCATACTGAGCGTACATTAGCAAAGCTGCAAGAAAGTTGCAGGAATGCAGTTTTTTTGGCAACATTGTTCTGTCATGAAAAGCGGTGTAACCTCCACCTCCACAAGTTTGCGTGTTTGCCAGACCTGTTCCCGCAATATATTAGTGGCCAGGCGGATTTGCGAATGAGGTCTTTCGATTCAGTATATCTTCCACATCCGGGTGTGTGTGCAGCGTTTGAATTGTGAATGAACGTTCCATGAACGCCATGGCAATGCGGCGCAATAACAATCCTACGGTAGCAACATAAGACTTCCCCAGCTACAGCAGTAGTTTTCATGTTATGGGTCCAGATCGCGTCCGTTAATTGGGAGAGGCTGTGCAGTCCCAAGGGCCGAAGCCTGACTTGGCTTAAGTATAGAAACTGTCCCCAAATGCACCGGGAACACTTTCTACACAGAAGCCAAGTCAGCAGTTTTTATCCAGTACTTGGCTTGTACCGTTTTGTCAACGAGAGAACCCGCGGCTTGGGAGATTGTGTACAGCAAGTCAACGGCCCAGGAGAGGCACACAGGCATCACACAGCAGCATATCATACTGCGTACCACCTCACACAAGCATGCTAGACCAAGGTTTCCCAGTCACGTTTCACTTAGCGGAGCATATTGACGAGCACCCAACAGGCAAATGTGAGTGGTGTGTCCCCAAAGTGTCCCCATTGGGCTTCCAGTACTAGGAAGTTAAAAAAAAAAAAGGCCCAGTGTGCCGCGGGCAGGGCCCGAATATCAAGGCGAAAGAGGCGGGTAGGCGTTGTCTAAAATACTTACCAACCAACAGTTTGGTGGAGGAACGCATCGATTGTTTGTACGGTGGAAGTATCATGTGCATCACTGAGATCAACGAGACGGAAAACGACAGGGTGTGCGGTGCGGGAAACCTGACGTCGGGGCTTCGCTGGGCTTCGCTGGGCTTCGCTGTACTGTAGTAAACGTTCTTAGTACTAGGCGCCCAAATGGGAAGACTTTAAGGACACAGCACTCAAATATCTACGTACCACGCCGTAGTCGCCCTGCAGTACAAGCTGGTTCAAGGAAATGGATGCAATATTCAACATAAAAACATCACGCCGTTTTCATAAGGCTTTGAAACTCTGCACACATGTACATCGGGCTAGTACGAAGCGCTGTGTGTGTGTGGGGGGGGGTGTACTCATACTCGTGTATGCCGTAGTCGTTAGACTATTGACCTCGCATCCCTACAAAGCCGGGACGGAGCACGCCTAGTTCTCACCGGACCAGGCTATCACATCACCAAGCGCGAAGCGCCGTGAGGTATTCGGCGAGTCGCATGAAGGGTGCGCTGCATCCTGCTCAGGGTGTTCGGCATCTTGTGCTTGCTTCCTTGCGTACGGATGACAGCTGCGTATGACTTAATTTATTTGCTGGTGCTTTCACTTCCAGAGACAGTTATAAGCACTGTGTAACTGCCTTGAGGATACTTGACCAATTTAACACAACGTGGTGCGATCATCCCCCTTGCGCGGAGTGAGGGTTCTCGACCCCGCACAACATGATCTACTCGACCACCATTATGGTTACCGCAAAAAAAAAAAAAAGGCAAAAAAAAAGCGGTAACCTGGTTGCCGAGTTCACGAAGTGAATTGGCGTGTTTTACGACGTCGTTCCAACCGAGGAAAACCAAATCCCGATAGCAAATACCGAGGGGGGGCTTGTTTTACAACGTTGTTGCCAAGCGACGAAACCCAACCCCGATGGCAAACACCGGGGGGGGCAGCATATCATACTGCGTACCACCTCACGCAACGGCGGCCGGGGGGACAGGTTTAAGGGGAAAGTTCCGTAGCGTGTTGTGTGATTTCAACCACGCAAGCGAAACAACAGATACATCAGTAGCAGTATCAATTGTGACATCATTGACAGGACAATCATCCACTGAGTTGGCAACGCGGACTCGTCGAGACGAAAGAGATAGAGAGACAGAATTGGGTTTATGCGCCAGCACAGAGCTGTACCATACATCATTTTTATTATTTTGATCCTTCTCGGTGGAAACAACATTGGTTCCAGAGCGCAAACACGAACGGCGAGGTCGTTGTTGGCTACAGACAAATTCAGATCAAACGTTACCCGCTTACGCGTAGTGCTCACGGACGGTGATTGATTACCAAGGACATTTGCAGAAGGAAGACCAATCTCACACGGTTTTGCAACACATGCAATTTTTCTCTTTCTACTCTTTGAATGCACCTGCCCGTAAGGCACTACATAGTGACCATTACGGACAGGGACACGCGACATGACAAAACGACGCTTAGTTGCTGCTACTGACGTGGAGAGAAATTTATTTCTCTTCACGTCTACCCTGGTGACTCCAGGGGACATCCCAACTGCAGGCGTATCAACAGCTGGGCCACACCATTCATCAGATTCCTCCTCGTTATCTTCTGACGAAGTGTGACGCCCACGACGGCGCGTTTGCGGTCGTGCTCTTCAGCTTCAGCACGCGCTTCCTTCTCATCGCGCATGCGTTGGTAACACTTTTCATACGTGTGGCCGAGCTTTTTGTCGCACTCATCATACGTACACACCGGACGCGGTTTACTGTTTTTCTTAGCTTTACCCCGCTGTTCGGCCTTGCTACGGTTCTTGGTACCCGCGGCAGCAGTAGCTTGACGTCCGGAACCTTTTCCTTTCGACGGTGTGTTGCGCCTTAGGTGGTTTGTGGCATTGTTAGGGTCGTGCCGAAACTGTTGGGTGACAGCGGAACGGTTGGGGACAGTAGTGAATGAGGCGGCGCTAGCCGTGCGAACAACATTGGCTGCTTCATGACGCCTGGCAAACCGCTTCTTTCCAAGTAGTGACTGGGTTTTTGGACAATTGCAGAACATGCAGGGTCGGAATAAGGCCATGTTGGAATGCATTGAGAACGAGGGCAGATAGGACAGAACGACCAGGACTTTGGCGTTCAACTGCGTCCTCAAGACGAGTGACAAGGGTGCGTAAACGCAGGGCATAAGCCGACGAATTCGGTTCGTTCTTGTTTAAACCGAGAAAAATGAAGAGCACAGTCTTCAACACTGTTTGATGGCATAAGCAGGTCAACGAGACAGACTGTTTTTTGGTTCCGCCCAGTTGTAGACGGTGGGACAAAAGACCCAGAAATGCCGGTGGGCTCAGATGACACGACGTCTGCTTGCCATGCGATTAGACCATCAGACAGCTGGTGGTACAGTGTTAGGACAGAACCATCACAGATGAGAGGGAAAAAATCGAACGCGAGTTCATCCCCATACGAAGGTTCCTCCGGGCGGACACTCTTGGCTTTGAAGCCACAAATAAGACGCAAGTGAGAAAGACAGACAGAGACATCGACATCGTCTTTTCCCGTAAGACCTGGTACCCTACGGACATCGACAGCTGACACTACAGCGGTTTTCGGTTGAGCGGCTAATGTGTTCGACAGCTGTGCTTGACTGGGGACTTTCGAGGGATTGGCAGGAGTGGAAGGGTTGGGAGGAGTTACGCCGGTCACAATAACTGAATCTCCACAATCAGAACTCGAAGGCAGACTCACCAGTTGCTTCATCATAAGCAGCGTTTGGGACGAAAGGCTCTTGCTGCGGCCCTGCAGTTGGAGGTCGAGCTACTGGTTGATGATTTCGGTCATCCGCTGCCGTGTGTCTTCGATCCCTGAAGCGAGTTGGTCCGAAGTGTTGACAGGTTGCCCCGAAGAGATGTTGGGTGACTCCGAGGCTGAGCCGTCGTCGCCTGCAGCGGAGGCTGATTCATTGGCCGCGCCGGATGCACCGTCGCCTGCGGCACCACCTTCGGCTTCGGCGGCGATGTCGTTATTGACAACAGCTCCTTCGTTGTTCAGGTCACCGTACAGTGCCTGCTCTTCGAATTGTTCTCCCGACATGACAAAGACTGCCTCTAGACAAGTTCTTTGTCAACTGCCACTGACGCCAATGTGGTGTTTGGTCTAGAGCGCAGTCGATGGAGAGTTACGAGCTCTCTACTCTTGCGACGAGCAAGTTGTCCTCACGTACAGCAACGACGATGGAAGTGGGGCACGTGTAGAACCGCGTGGACAGTCGGACAGGTCTGGTAGAACCAGAGACAGAGGTAGTGAAAGGAACTGAGCTGAGAGGGGCGAAGGCGGACAGAGTCGTCGGCCATCAAGATCATGAACCGAAGTTCCTCCTCACTGATGACAATGACGTGGATGTGTCCAGTCGGAGGAAATCTCCGACTGACGTATGGACGTGACAGACAGACACGAACAGCGGCGTGTTGGTTCAGGAGACACAAGTCCCACTTTTTCTCTTGTTTTTGTTATTTCAGTCCCCTAGAGTATCGGGAATTGCTTCGTTGCAAAACTACGGTAGAAAGGCGGGTTTGCATGCTATAATTCGTTTCACATTGTAATGATGTTGATAGCGTTTGATTGGCTGGGACACATTTATGCCCTCGTTTTATATCATGTTGATGGCTTCTGATCGGCTGAGACACCTTTATGCCCATTGCATTGTGGCCACGACTCTGATTGAAATCCCGGCCACGGCGATTTCTTCCCTTGCTCATGGGGGTCATTATGATACAATATTCGTCAATTTTGTGTACTCTGGCAGCTATGGTTGACTATGTTTGGATGAATTTCCGTAAACCAGCTTGAAGGCTCCGTTGTGTCGAACGCACGTGAGAACCTTGCTCTATCATGCTTTTAGGTGAGGTGGTACCCTGTGTGCTATGGTGTGTGATGCCTCCCCTCGCCCTCAGACCCGCTGCACATAGTTTCCCAAGCCACGTGTCCCCTAGGTGGTAAAACTGCTGTACACTGCCTAGTACTGGAAAAATTTGCTGACTTGCCTTCGGTGTGGAAAGTGTCCCCACGGGGGTTTGGGGACACATGTCATACTGAAACCAAGTCACCCTTTGCCTGGCAAGGAGCTCGACACTTTCCGATTTCTTTGGCGGGACTGTAGCCCCTCGGCCAATGACCGCAAAAATATAGTTGCGATTTGTTTTTGCGGAGAAACTGCGTTCTATTCTACAGTAGGAGGATTAACCAAGGAAGGTACTACAGTATGGCACAAGACAACGCCTGTGGACAGGGCGGATTTTCGGGGCACTTGCGGATGCCACCCTTATATTAGGCAGAAGAGCTTGCAATGCCGCAATATACTCAAGCAGAACCGCACGCGGTAGGAGTTTCAATTTGAACATGTTGAACGACCCTAGTTGAAATTCATCTTGAATTCCAAATGGAAAGGGCTGTACTTGCAAGTTGGAATGCTCTTATCGGAGGCGCCCTTTGCGCGTACTGCACCTTTGCTCCTCGAGCTTGGCCCCGAGACGCGTACAGCAGTGGATTGTATAGCCTCGATGGTTTGATTTCGATCCGATATCCGTGAGGCTAGCACTGGGTGAGGACGTCCCTTGGTGCGCTCTGATTCCGGTCCATCTGCAGAACTCCTGCTTTGCGGGGGGGGAGGAACGTTTTCAATGGATTCCCCGGATCCCACATGGGAAACGTTTACTACCAAAACTGGCCACAGTCCGGAACACTCACCACAATACTCACAGCCAAAGTTTGTTGTGTCCTACCGGCTTCTTCCAACTTCCAAATTGAGACATACTTCTACCTTAGAGTGTGCGGCAAGATGTTCACGAAGAGCCTTGCATGGGCAAACGGAATGACAGGGTGGGAATAACGAGGCGCCAGTGAGTCCCATGCGCCGCAAGGGCCGGGGACCACCCTGGCACAAGCCTAGGCGGGGCGGGGGCATACCCATTTGTGAACGATCACGCATGCTGCGGTGGACATCCTTGCGGCGCCGGTGGCTGCCGCTGCTCCTTACCTGCGGCAACGTTTGTACGATGTCCTCCTATGCTAGAAGTACATGCCTCACATACACCTTTTTTTCTCGACGTTCGCGTGGAAAATTGGGAAACCACCGCGGACAAGTGACGACGACGGAAGAACGCAATTGCCCAAAAGTCGATCATACGCCATACTTGATGGAGATCGTGAAGGACAACCTGTGGAGGGTGCTGTTGCAGAAATGTTGGAAGCGGGTTCTTAGACAAGGAGATGACGAGTTATTGTTTCTCTGTGTAGCCAAGTGCCGTTTATGACAACAACTCTCATGAATATTTGCATGCCTTACTATGCGCGGCAAAAAGTACGTATTTTAGGATGACATGCGGAGGAAGGTAATCGGAAGCAAGGTGGCTCACATGAAACAAGCCAGCGAATGTGTTTCTCTTGAACGCCATCAAGGAATATATGAAAAACAGCGCAATACGTTTTTTTGGTGGCTATTGTTTTCGCGCAGAATAATGTCCGTGGCATCTAGCTGTCTCAACAATGGATTGTTTGGAATTTTTCTCATAATGGGGAGGTCGACTTGCCCCTTTGTGTTTGGGGAAGCAAGAGTAGGCACCCGAGTGTTTCGGTCGACTTGCGGGCCGAGCCGTGGCTCGTCTGTTGCCGATTCGGTTGCGTTAGTGAACGGCAGAAGATATTCTACGCGGTGGTAGCATGTTTTATTATCGCCCACCGCTCAGAGCGTGAGCGCATGACGATATACTACAACATTACCATGTCACACAGCGCCGACTTAATACGTGGGAATGGGGCATGTTATTGAATGAATTGATGGCTTAGAACCAGTTTGGAGATTTGGTGCGAATGCCGTAGTCAAAGACCCCAGCTGCACAAAATGTTGCTTGTGTGTGTCTTCTCGGCAGTCATGGCGCCGGTGAACTCTCCATGTTTTCCACCCAACGGTGGTGTACGGATGGGGTGAGTCCCTCGACTTTCGTTGGCCTGCTCAACTTTCGTTGACCCGATGTCTCCTTCATTGGTGGACATTTCACTCTTGCACGCGAAGTGATAATCTATTTCATGTGCCCTTTGCTCTCTTGCACTCCTCCATGTTTTCCTCCTCCATCGTCATCTTCGTCCTCCTTTCTTCCCTTTCCCTTTCCTTCGTCTCCGTCACTCCTAAAATAACTACCCTCATCACTATCGTTGTCACAGACATCCCAACCGATTGGCCCTGGTGGAAGTTGGTCGATCAGTAGCCCATGACGTTTGAACACATCGCGAGTTCGCATCGACAGAAAACGAGCTAGCTCGAAAGTAAACCGTCTCCAAATCCTGTTAGTATGAAAAGCTTTCAGGCGAACTAAGGCTCTTTCGTCGTCAAAATTCCCCCGGCAAAAAGCTTTGTGCGCCAAGTGGTTGGCGATAGTAACGATGGGTCGATTGGTGCCTTTGCCAAGACCACGATTCGTTGAACAAGCAGCAGTAAGGAGGGTAGATCTTGACAGGTTGAAAGTTCCCGCATAGTGATTTGCCTTCTCGGAGCTCGATCTTCGAGGGCGGATCCTGGCTTTTGCATCGACTTGTCGATGCTTCCATCTGCGGATGGGTTGACGATTGTTACGTCTCTACGAATGGACTTGATGCAGAGTTCCTCTTCCTTCTCTCGTGCGTGTAATCCTGGGGGGATTACCAAATCCATCTTGTATAGCCCCTTTCCCCTACCAGCGCCTGTGGTAAAAGGGGAAGAATCCTCAACGGCGATGGGCATATGGCACTCGCGCAGTGTGTTGGGGACTACTCGAACCATCCTGTTATGGAGGAAGGTTGAGGCGCCGGTCTTGGTGCAGATGTGGGAGTGGGCTCGGCTCAAGCGGTTTTTGCATGGTAACAATGCACCTGCACCACAAAGTTTGCCTGTGTCGCAGTCTGCTCGATCGTGACTCCCCAGTACACGACCGATTGACTCCTGATATAGATCAGGCATCATTCTTTCATCTGCTGACAACCCTTGCGTTGTCAACCACGACATGACTCCCTTGCCTTTCGCTTCCTCCAAGCGGATCAATGCCCTCTTCTTTGACGTTTCCTCGACTGCTATCTTCTGCAAGTCTGTCTCCAGCATATGACGCACTGTGCATGAAAAGGTTTCGAAAGGAGAGCTTGAGCTCCAAAGACTTGGTAGTGTTGACCAAATTCATTTCGGCTGTAGGTAGACGGTGGTTGATGTTCGACGTCAGGGTTTCCATCTTCACTGGGTTTTCCCGCCTTCCCTGCTTCCAACAGGTAAACTCGTTTGAGGGCGGCGGTTAAATCATCACTCGTGGCAAGTTTAGCCCATGACTGCCCAACAACTTTTTCAAGCTTGTCTTTGGTGATGATCTCCTCTAGCTTCTTGAGCGAATCAATCAGAGCCAATCCTGTCGGTAGCTGGGCAAGCCGGGGCAGACATTGCTCAACTATGTATCCTGTCGATGCTTGCACTGACTTCGACAAGACCAGTGCTTGCCCTGCCACAAAAGCCGATTCTCGAATGAGAACATTGCTCGTGATTCCTAGTCCTCCTTCACGCATGCGTAGGTGCACCTGTGCCCGAGCTGTCCCTTTGAAGAAATCTACGTCCTCGCTCTTCGTCGGGTCTGCCCGTACTTCTTTGTCCGTTGGTATTCTCATGCTGTCGGCCATCTTGCCGAGGACGATCTTACTCATTGCCCACATCATCATGTTGTCATGTTTTCTTGCGGCAGAGATAGTGATAGACGGTGCAATCGTCCTCAGCAGATGGGACAAACGTGGCACACCAGATAAACGCAGCTGTTGATAGCTGGCTTGAGAGTCGTCAAGCGTTACTAGGCGGAGTATCAATTCTGACGGGTCACCACGGGCGAAATTGGAAACGAAATTCCTCTGGAACTCTTCTGTCCCTACTAAGATCCCGACTACTGGCATGCCACCTTCAGCAACTGACAGACCAATTTTCGTCAATTGTTGCTGTTCGTCGTTTGTCAAAGAGGACATGCAAAGACCTTCCGGGAAAAGCACTTTGGATTTCGGGAGACTGAGCTCAATCCCTTGTTGGGAGAGACGTTCCTGAATCCAATTCGTTACAGTGGATATGGCCTGCATGTACCTAGCCAAACCTGGTGGAAGATTCGCTTGGAGGTCGTCGACGTATCCGATCAGTTTGACTCCTGGCACTCGTGGCTTGTTGTTGAACTCTTTCATGATATCAAGGAGTCCTACACAGAAGCCAACCCTCCCATTACGGCCTTGTTGAACTCCGCGCTGTGAAAGAACAACCTCGATCGAACCATCTTCCGTTTTGAACAGAAATTTCGCCTTGGTTCGAGCGTAGATGTTCCCGAAGTATGTGGCGTATGAGTGGCAACCTTTGGCAAGATGGAAGATCTGCGCATGCTGTTGTAAGCATTTTTCCCATCAAAAGAGAGAATGGTGCTGCCTTGCTGGTGGCTGAGGGCTGCTATGGAAGCCACTATCTCAACTCCTCCTGGAACACCACCTCCGAACTGGTTTGCTGCTTCGGAGATATTGGCCATCCCTCCCTTGTATTGGCGGCAGAAGCTGCCGCTGATGATGCGACGCCAAACCCCTCCAACTGCAATCGGCCGTTTTTCTCTCCCAGCGCTGAAAGGTTGGCACTGGTGTGGAGGTTCCAACAGAAATCCGGAAGCTCGTCTCCGTAGTAAAAGACTTTAAAAGTGAAGTCCGCCAAGGTTTCAGTAAAAAAATCACTCATTCCACCAGCTTGGAGATACGAAAAACGAAGACCATCAGGCCCCGGAGCACTCTGAGGTTGGCTTTGTTTACCGTCTGCTTGATGAACTTGATTTCGAACGGTTCATCAGCTTCGGCGACGGAGTCTATCTTGTGCGTTTTTATACCATCTCCCGCAGCTTTGATGCTGGAATCCCACGCACGTCAGGATCTTCGTTAGGGTGTAGGTTGCGAAGATGCTCCAGCGTGTCGTTGTTGCGCGGTGAAGGTGCTGGGGAGATTACGGCACTGACAGAAATTTGTTGCTCGGGAAAGTTGGAGTTGTCTTTCGACACGTGCTGCTTCATATCTTTCCGCTGCAAGAGGAGACAGATCTGAGGTATCTGACTTCTGCTGATCCATGTGTACAGCTCCAAATGCTTGCACGAAGAGGATGACGACATGTTGGCAGTGTTTGCAAAATACTTTCGCCAGTTGCGGATCGACGTGTTTGACCGTCGAAACAATTGACGTTTTAAGAGTATCTTGTCGAACCTGATCCAGGGCACTGCTGACGTCGTTGAGGTCCCACGGTAATAGGAGTTGCCGCTTGTCGTCATCATCCTCTTGCGATGATTGCAACGACCCAGAGAGAGATGGAGACGATGTAGTGCCTGATTCGCAACAATGCTTGGTGCGTGGAGAGAAAAAGTCGCCGCATGTGCCACATGCGGCGTAATCGGGTGCATGGCTGCTCGAGCGTAAGGATCCAGGAGGAGACAAACTGAGTAGTAGCTCCTTTCCTCGACCTATATGCTGACGTTTTTGGGGCTTGTACATTTTCGTACTTTTTCATGAAAAGTTTCATGGAAGTCCATGGACTTCCATGGACTTCCATGGACTTCCATGAAACCGTTTCATGGACTTCCATGGTCTTCCATGAAACATTTCATGGAATTCCATGGACTTCCATGGAATTCCATGAAATGTTTCACGGCATTCCGTGAAAAGTTCCATGGATGTCCATGACATTTTTGTCATGGAACTTTCCATGAACTAATTTCACTCCTTGTCATGAAACATTTCATGGAATAGTTTCATGGACGTTCATGACATGCTTTCATGAACGTTCATGACATGTTTCATGGACGTTCATGACATGCTTTCATGAACGTTCATGACATGTTTCATGAACGCCCATGAACGTTCATGAAAAAAAATGTCATGATACAATGAACGTCCATGGAATGTTTCATGGACGTCCATGGTCTTTCATGAAATATTTCATGAACATCCATGAACGTCCATGAAATGTTTCATGAACGACCATGGACTTTCATGAAATATTTCATGAACATCCCTGAACGTTCAACAAATGTTTC